CGGGAATGGTGGAGTGCGCCGCGCTGCCGCACCCCAGCCTGCCCGGAGACCGATGTGCCCCCGCGCTGCCCCGGTCTGGACGCAGCGGGTCCGAGCACCCTTCCTGTCCACGATTCATCTCTGCCCCTAAATACAAGCAGAATCGTGTCCTCGGCTCGGGCAAGCCTACAAAAATGACTTTGATGCTGCATGCGGGGCGGGCGGGAGCCGCGACGCGACCCTTCGGACAGGCGATGAACCCAAGACCTGTCTTCTGCCAAATTGTCCTGTGCAAAGGAAGTTGTGCTCCTTGACTAATCCATGCGCTGGTGAATGACTAAGTGTGGGACTTCTTTCGTACCTGCTATAATTGCCTTTTTCTCGTGTGTCTCTCTAGGGTGGATTCGCCAAGTGTTATGAGATGACGGATTTAACAACAAATAAAGTTTATGCTGCAAAAATCATTCCTCACAGCAGAGTAGCAAAACCTCATCAAAGGGAAAAGGTATGTGTGCATGAGTGACTTTTTTTTTTTCTCCTCAGACTCTCTTTGTGTGCTGGGTTGCCCAGCCCTTTTCTTGAAATGGTTCTGATAGAGCTGTCTGCTCAACCTTGTGGACGCGAGGCTAACAACAGGTTTTTTTCTTTTCCCCCCCTCTTCTCTCTGCAGATTGATAAAGAGATTGAGCTGCACAGAATGCTTAATCATAGACATGTTGTGCAGTTTTACCACTACTTCGAAGACAGAGAGAATATTTACATTCTTCTGGAGTACTGCAGTAGAAGGGTGAGCATCAACTGGGAGAAATCCAGTATTTACTTAGCTGGAATCTGCAACTAATTTAAATGTGATATGTGTAAAAAGGTATTTTTTGTGACTTCTTCAGTCGTCATTTCTCCATGCATTTATTTTTGCCTAAGGTGAATCTTGTGCGTGAATGTTCAGTGACATTTCTGCCTTTGTTTTTCCTCTGCAGTCAATGGCTCACATCTTAAAAGCGAGGAAGGTATTGACGGAACCAGAAGTACGATACTACCTCAGGCAAATTGTGTCAGGGCTGAAGTATCTTCATGAACAGGAAATCTTGCACAGGGATCTTAAACTAGGTAAGTTCTGCACCTCGTCAACTTCAAAACACGCTTCTCCAGCCCTGTCAGCACTGTACCACTTTACACTTGTATGGTGATAGATTAATAGAATCAGCTCAGGGTGTCTTTACAGTGGAAACTTGGAGTGCTTAAAGGAATGACATTAAGCATTCCTACTTTAAAAAAAAAAAGTCTTGGCTAGCTTCTGGCTTTGAACAAAGTATGACTCAGCACCTGTGGCAAATGCATTCCTACCTTGCAAGAAAAGGACTAACTGGAATTTCTGTGTCTACTAGGTAACTTCTTCATTAATGAGAACATGGAACTGAAACTGGGAGACTTTGGCTTGGCAGCTAGGCTGGAACCACTGGAGCACAGGAGGAGGTAGGAACATCAACAAATGTAAAGTCTAGTAGTAAATGAAACCAAATTCATTTAGAAATGAGAAGTCCTGTTCCATAGCAAAAGCTAATTGCTTCTGGGATCAAGATTTCCCCTTCTAGAAAACAGGCTGCTGTGCTTTGACTCTGACCATTTGAATAATAGCAAATGCCAGAGGCACGGTACCTGACTGACAAATAGTGCAGATGTAAGTCTGCTGTAGTTATATCATAAAGACACCATAAAACATGTCTACACTATTAATGTTCATGCAGCTCCTCTTTAGGAGTCTAAGCTCTTGTCTGAACTTGAGAGGAAAACCTGCCCGATAGAAAGAGGAGAGAAGCTATTTTTCATCTGAAATGCTAACAGGCTCTGTGGCCTCTTTGATTTGCAGAACAATATGTGGCACACCAAATTACCTTTCTCCAGAAGTCCTCAACAAACAAGGGCACGGCTGTGAATCTGACATCTGGGCCTTAGGCTGTGTAATGTAAGTACTTGACTGCCTTTGAAATAAAGTATTTCTATCGCTGGCTTAGGCTTTTTAAGAGTTCAAAGGAGATGCAGTGCTGCATCAGTTTGCAGCCCTTTAGACATGTCTAGCCCAAGTGCAGAATTACGCCTTCGTGTGAGGAGACAGACAAAGCCTTTTCAGTAGTTGTAGATAAGTATTGTGAGTGTGTAAAGTAAAGAATAATAGGTTTCTTTTGCTTTTAAACAGGTATACAATGCTGTTGGGAAGACCTCCATTTGAGACCACAAATCTTAAAGAAACATACAGATGTATAAGGGAAGCAAGATATAGTCTGCCTTCATCTCTCTTGGCACCTGCAAAACACCTAATAGCCAGCATGTTGTCAAAAAATCCTGAGGATCGGCCCACTTTAGATGAAATAATTCGACATGAATTTTTCTTACAGGTTTGTACTGCCTCATGTTCTGGCTGAAAAAATATCCACCCTAAAAATGTGCTCTGTGGCCTAAAAATTATTTTTTTAATCTCACTTTTGCAGGGCTTTACACCCGATAGACTTTCTGCTAGCTGTTGTCACACTGTTCCTGACTTCCATTTGTCAAGTCCTGCTAAAAATTTCTTCAAAAAAGCAGCTGCTGCTCTCTTTGGTGGTAAAAAGGATAAAGCCAGATACTTCGACACACATAGTAAGTGGATTGTAGCTATGCTTGAAACTTGTCTCTATGCCATCCAATGTATAACTGTGAGATCGCAACAGAGCACTTGTGTTTATGTCTCAGAGCTTCCCTGGGTTAGTTTTGACCTCTTTATCAATAAGTATAGATGGTAGCCTGCAACTTATGCCAACTTACATAAGTAAATGCTTCTTATGGTATACTGACAATCTATATTGGCTGTCTAATGGTCTGTAAGGTCTATTAAATTTTAATCTTAGTGATCTGTGTATAATGGCACTGCTGATCTGGGAGACTAGGGCATCTTTAGATGAAGCTACTAGAGGGAGACAATGTGCTTTCTGCAGCTAACTTGTTAGGCTTTCTGTGATTGAACAGCACTTCCAGTTGCAGCGTTAAGTATTTTTTTCTGGTATTACAGACAGACTAGCTAAAGAAGATGAAGAAATCTACAAGCTCAGGCATGATTTGAAGAAGACATCGATAACCCAGCAGCCCCACAAACACAGAACAGATGAGGTAAATGGAAGCGCAGTTCAATTCAAATCCAATCACAGTTGGGTGGAGTAGCTATAATTAAATTATATTTGACTTGGATGTCAGAGCTGGGGCTGTACGCAGCATGATCAAGCTTAAATGATTAGCGGGCTTGCTTTAAGAGGGCTTAACTAAGCTTCACCAAGGTATGGTAGCCTTTGTAGGGAGACGATTGGTTTTGGCTTTTGAGTAATTGTACTATCTGCCTAGACTGCATTGTTACCTGTGTGATAGCTTTCTGCCAGGTGCTCTTTCCCAGTATTCCTAATACAGGCCTTCAGTTCATGATTAACTAGGACTTATTAAAGAATAAGTTGCCGAGATCTAACTCTTACCATTTGGTGGTCAGACCTGCAAACAGCTCTTCTCTTGCTAGGGCAGGAGAGCAGAGGACTGATTAATAGTGTGTAAGATGTAAACTGAAGATCTAAAGAGTGGAAAGACCTGGCGTGCTTCTTTAAGCTCAGTCTAACAGCATCTCTTTGTACTTACTGGAAACATTAATACCAGTTGCCCTAGAATTTAGCATTTGTTGAGAGACAAGAGGGCCATGCAAAACTTGTGTGTAACTCTTGGCTTGTGTTATGGTTGATGTTATATGTCTGACATCTCTTCCAGGAGATCCAGCCTCTTGTCACAACAGCACCAAAGCCAGGAGCAATCCCAGAAACTAAGCAGATTGGGGACTCTATTCGGATGATAGTGAGAGGAACTTTGGGAAGCTGCAGCAGTAGCAGTGAATGTAAGTGGAGCAAAATGAATCTCTAATTCTAAATCCCACCTTTACGTTCTTCCTGTCTCAGACATAAAAGCTTGAAACGAACAGCTGCTTTCCTCCCCACCTCCTATTTTTGTTGCTGTAAATTTTACAGCCAATATTTTAGCAGAGTTAGAACTGAAAAGCTATAAAGTCTAAACTTAAAATTACAGTCTAGATAACTGAAAGGTTTAGAACTAAAGCCTCCTCTCTGTGTGCTCTGGTCAGTCTAATAATCCTTCTCTTTCAGGCCTGGAAGACAGTACTATGGGAAGCGTTGCTGATACAGTTGCGAGGGTATTGCGAGGATGTCTGGAGAACATGCCAGAAGCAGACAGCATTCCTAAAGAACAGCTGACAGCATCCTTCCAGTGGGTTACGAAATGGGTGGACTATTCTAACAAGTATGGCTTTGGGTACCAGCTGTCAGATCACACTGTTGGAGTCCTTTTCAACAATGGGGCACATATGAGCCTTCTGCCAGACAAAAAGTAAGAATGATTACAAAACTGACAACTCGCTAAGGTAGTTTAAACATAAAATGCTATTGTCTCACCTCCCTGCTTACTTTCTGCTCTTACAGGACAGTCCACTACTATGCTGAGCTAGGCCAGTGCTCTGTCTTCTCAGCCACAGAGGCTCCTGAACAGTTCATTAGCCAAGTAACTGTACTGAAGTATTTCTCTCACTACATGGAAGAGAACCTCATGGATGTAAGTTCAGCACCTTCTGGATCTTGAGGTGTAAAAATGCACTAAATGTGAACTGAGTGCTTAACATAGTGTCTTCTTCCTTTCCTAGGGAGGAGATTTGCCCGGCGTAACAGATATACGCAGGCCCAGGCTTTACCTCTTGCAGTGGCTTAAATCCGATAAAGCATTAATGATGCTCTTCAATGATGGCACGTTTCAAGTAAGTTTGGTAGCATCACTGAAGAAAGTGATTCTGAAATATTTTACTGCAATAAAACTGGATAAGGGCTATAAACTGAGGAGAAAGAATACAAACAGGAACTTGTTTCTCTTTTACAGGTGAACTTCTATCATGATCACACGAAAATCATCATTTGCAATCAGAGCGAAGAGTATCTCCTTACCTACATCAATGAAGAGAGGATATCCACAACGTTTCGTCTGACAACTCTTCTGGTTTCTGGATGCTCGTTGGAACTAAAACACAGAATGGAATATGCTCTGAACATGCTGCTGCAGCGATGTAACTGAAAGGACTGACTCCGTTTAAACCAAACGGACTCTCTTGTTCACTGTGAAATCTACAGTGGAGATAGTGGGGATACTAGTATGTTGATAATGGATGTGTGATGGTACGAAAACTTGACTGTCCTGGTGTGCTGGGCACACATCTATTAGACAGAAGCCTAAACCTACTGTTGGACTAAAACAGTGTGAGAAGGAGTTCTTCGGACCATAGTTTTTCTTGTTTCTTGTGTGTTAAGGTATTTTTGACTTGAACTCCGAGCAGAGTGTGACTGGTTGCTCTGTAAGACAGGATTTCTGATGGAGTTAAACTGTGAATACGTATCTGGAAAGGGAGGGAAGGGAGAGCTCTTTTGTTATGGAATAGCTGTAATAAGCAGCTTTTGGCTGCTTAACTGTGAACTATGGCCATACTCTCTTTTTTTCTTATTTTTTAAAAATACCCACACTTGTGGCTGGAAAAGTGCATTCCTTGTTAATAATTTTTTTATTTATTGCAGCCCAAAGTGAAGTATTTATTACACAACCTTTTTTTTTGGACCTTGGCATTTTAAATAAAGAGAATGATGCGTCAGATTTCCATTCTCCACTCTTTTTACGGTATAACTTCAAATGCTTTGCGTTGTGTTACCAAAAATCTTGAAGGTCTGCTTTCCTTAAGCTATTTTTAAAGTCTGCTGCAGGTCAGGATATGAATGACAGGCTCTAACACTGAGCAGCTTTGTCTGTGTCTATGCACACTTGTAGTCACAAGCACCAACATGCTGCTGCTCAAGATAGCAGCAACCCTAAAGCAACTGCTGATGAAGCTTGCAGAGTAATGATGTAGGCCTTGACACTTGGTTATTGTCATAGGGACTAAAACCAAAAGTATGGATTGCTTCAAGATGCTACATTCCAAAATCTATATTGATATTTTATATTATCTGAAAAGAACTCATTACTAGAGATAATACTCAGTGGACAATAGCTATGATAACAAGCTGTGTAAGCTTCCTCCTCTTAGTGTGGAAGCATTGCTGTTATTCACCAAGGGACTGAAGTATCCTGACACCTCAATGATAGAATGAATTGTCTGCACCTGTCACTGCCCCTCTATTGTGCTTTATCATGTGTGTCTTTCTGCCCTTGGTTAAATGGTAACCCAGTAAAGTAAAATCAAAATGGTAAGATTTAAAGACTGACTTGGTATCAACTTTAGGCTTACTTTACCTAGTTGATAACATTAGACAACCACAAGTGTTATTAACCATTATGGTATGCTATAAGTTCTCTATAAAGTAGCTTGCATCAGCTGAGGACAGCATAAGGATGGCCTGCTGCTTAGTGCAATCCCACTGCTAATAAGCATGCACTTACTAGAGCAATTGTTTTCCTAAACTGAAGACAATGCCAGTTGTCAGTTAAACTATGCAAACAGACGGGATTATTGAGGACTCATGACTCAGAGCAGGGGAAATGTCTACTTGTAGGCTGGGCTTATTTCTCTCTAGATATTATGTAGCACCTGGACCTATATAAACACATAGCGCTCTTCGAGCAACTGTTCTGATGCAGCAGCAAGCAGTGGTTCAATCACTTATTTGGATTAATCTTCATATAACTGAATAAGGTCTGTTCTGACAGACCTCAACTGCCATCAATGTTTCAATCAACAGTCAAAATAAAAAAGTGTAGACTCACCAAAATACAGATGTCAACCTAAAAAAGTGAGCAGGAGGTAGCACTGGCTTGCTTCATCTTGCAGCAAGTGTGTGTAAGTGTGATTGTTTTCCTTGTATTGAATACCATGCATTAGGTAAGATTTATTTACTTCTCAAGTCTAGACAGGAAGACCTAATTGAGTTCTTCAGATGGATTCATTAATGTAACTCTAGGCAGTTCAGTGAAGTTAAATATATACTTGCTATAATGAGCAGAATTCAGCTTCTCAGATGTCTACTTTCTTCAAGGGATAAGGATTGACTTTATTCCTGAGAGGCCATGACTGACAATTCCTCTGCACACATACAGCCACTTACGAAGTAAGATGTCACTTTTTGTTTACGACACCAGTAAGCATACAGTTTGTGTGCATTTGAAACACAAAAATTACTTGAGCTATAGTACTTAATTCTTCAAATGGCAAAACAGTTCTTTGTTTAATTGTCTGTGTGCTGGAGTATGTACCTTCACTTCAGCTGCTATAATTTGAGTATCAAAATCATCTTTCTGTGGCTGAATTTCAGGCTGGTGTAAGCAAAGAAACTGACATAAAGTGTAGGATGTTTAAAAGTGGATATAAAAGCCCCAAATCCTATTGCAGTATGCTAGTTGTTTGTGGACAGTTGTAATGTACCTCACTCAAACACAGTTAAGTGAATCAGTTATTTGTATGCAATGAGTATGTTTGGTACTAGGATGCTTGGTGCTTTCTAAATCCTTCTGTATCTTTCTGGTTAGTCCTCTGTTTCCTTACCTCACTTTTTATTTTCATATTGCAAATAGGAGAGATATTTAGATCAGGTTAAGGAGAAATACCCATTTCAAAGTACGCTACCTTTGCCCTAGTCCCTAAGCCCAAGGAGGGAAAGCTGCTTTAAAATTTGTAATATAAAAACTTGCATCTGGAACAAAGGTTCTGAAATTCTTTCCCAGGGTGGATCCTGTATTAAATAAGACACTGTAGTGCACTAATTGACCTCCTTTACCCAATCATGTAACATCCCTGTTGTAATTCTGTATATGGGAAGATTAATTTTAGAAAAGTACTTGTCCACTCCTCCTCATAACAAATGTCTTACCTTCTGCTGAAAGAAAGGTATATGGCCTGGATTTTATACTTGTCAGGCAGTGATTCTAATCTTTTCTATTGAAAACAAGAGCAAATACAGCATTAAGAGTTTAGCTCAGGAGCATATGTACTTGAATGAAAATGTGGGGATTAAAGGATTAGGTGAAAGTTGGCACACAGCTTTCTCAGATATGAGTGGTGGACACAGGAAATAACATTGCCAAGAAAAAAAAAATCTTATACTTTTATTAAAACATCTTCATCAAATCTCAAAATATATTTTTGCAAATATATATAGGTACTTGTACAGCCCAGTGCGTTAACCTGGCAGTAGAAAACAAGTCAAAGAAGTGATGCAACACGTTAACATAATGTATTACCCACTGATGCCACTAGTCACTCAGGTGTTCTAGGGCATTCTGTAATCCATTTCAGGTGTTCTAAATTATTGCATTTCATTAAATTTCTTCGTATACTGTATATGAGAGAACAAAAATTGAGAGTTTGGGTTTATATTCTGCTCTGCAATATTGAATAAACTTTCTGATACCGTTGAGATTTAGGAAACTGGAATAAGATTGAGCCACTTTAAAGCTATTTCATTACTTCTGAAAATAGTCATATTGGAGAATGGTCCTTCAGCTGCCCATCAATAACAGCAAATTTCCTGCCTGATTAGATGCCTGATTAGATGGATTCTAAATGTAGACATGAATTAAAAAAAAAAAAAAATAATAGGTTCTTATAGATAATTATGACCTCTCAACTAGATGCATACCTAAGGAATCAACCAGAATCATGCATGGCCTGGACCATAGCTTTTTTTCTTTTGGTCTGTTTTTATGCTTTTTATGCCTTATTAACATCAATAGTGACAGATACCATGTTAGGCCAATACATACAAATTAACTTGGAGGTTAAACTCCAATAAATATAAAATATTGGAAACAAATACCATGGTTCATCAGCGTTTGGAAATTATTTTAACAGAATGTAAAGATTTAGCCTCTGGGATTTATCTGTGTAAATTAGCTCCAATGTGGAAACAAAATTGTTTTGAAATATTTTTGAAAGATTCTGTCATATTGGCATAGAATTAGGCTAAGTTTGAAATCATTGCTGTGTTTTTTTTTCTTTACCAAAAATTCATGGGGAAAAAAAGATTTTACATTGTCTGCATCATGTAGATGTGATCTGAACACGAGTAAGGTATTATCTTGGTTGACCATTTACTGCTTCTTCCTACTTGGTATTTGAAGAAATACCTTAAACTGTCATGATGGGAACATAAAAGAGTTAATGAATCAACAGTATTTTACGCAGAGGTATTATTGGTACCAAACTGGCCCAGGTAAGGAGTTACTGAACACTTTTTCTTCAGAGGTTAAAAAGCAGTAAGGTACTTTATAGTTGCCTCCACAAATGATTCTGAGTGAAAGAACTGAATGAACTCCTCAGCACTTTGCCAGAATGTAGTGCTGCTTTCTTTTGTGATAGTCCAGAAAGGAAGATTGCTCCATGCTCTGCCTCCCTCACTTATCTTGAATGATCATGAAAATGCTTATTTTCCTTCAATAATTTCAAAAGTCAGATAAAGGACAGGGTGGATCAAGTGCACTCTGTGAGTGAGTGAGTGAGTGAGTGAGCGAGCGAGAGAGCGAGCGAGCGTCTCTCCATACACTGAGAATCTTAGGAAGAGGTGGACAAAAGAAAAGTGGAGGCAACTGATATTTAGCTCAGAGCCCCAAATATGCACGGTGCTCCCTTCCTCCTCATCAGCCTTCCCAGCGACTTCAGCACAACCTCTGTAGTCTTCCCACTAGAGAACAATTCTGATTTCTCTACTGACCTGTTAGACTTAGTCCAGACAAATATTCATATTCTGACTGTGGATATTGAATGGATAAATAGTTCAGATTAAAATTCTTTTTAATTCAATCACTTTCTTTAAAAAATATATAAAAATTTAGATACTTGCTCGACAGCATATTTAGTACTTTATTACTATTATTACTAGAGGTCACAGCTCATCCTTTTTCCCTTCCTGGAAATCTCATTTCTATCCTCCCTCTGATTTTCTGTTCTTTTTTTCTCAAGATCTCACCCTGGGGAATAAACACCAGCTCATTTCAATTATTTACCTGGATTTAAGATCTTTGGGGCTGATAACCTATCACACATCTAGGTCTTCCTAGACAAAGATGCCTCCAAAGTGCTATAGTAATTCAAAAAACTCAATTAGAACCCGGTCATCTTGGACATCATTCCTGTAGACCATTCTTCTGAAGGACTCACTTCACAGTATTTTCCATCAAATGACCACCACATCAACACTGTTAAGACTGATAAAAGAAACTTTGAGGTCACCTTTTCAATCTTACTGTGGGATCAGGCAGACCTCAACTGCTCCCACTTGTGTTTCAAACATTGATTTCACAGACATAAGCATTAGAATCAAATTAATAGGTAAATTCTGTCA